TATATTGCACTGAGTTATTGAAGAAGTAACCTCAATAATCCAGTAAATCACTGAATCAGGAGACAGCTGGAAACAGACTGAAACTGATCAGCTGAACTCTTTAGATCAGCTGGAAACAGAAAGTCCTGATTAAATGCCGGACAAACAGGAAAAACCAGACGTGCTTGACAGCAGGAACATTGACACGCAAACTATCCGATCTGACGAAGTTCTTCGGTCTGCAGATCAGAACCACGAGACTGAATCCCATTTCTAGCGTTAACCCGGCCATTAGTATTTTCCTTCCTCCTTCAGAAGTACTTCAAGTAATCTGGAGGTGCGGCCCTCCTCTTACAAGCATGACTTTTTTATTGGGTGTTTGCAAAAGGAGCTACAAAGCGAACCAACCAAACGAGTAGGGAGATCAACAACATGGGTAACCATGGCAACACATACAAAAATATCACAGAAAGTATTGCTATGAAAGGAAGACAGGGTTGTCTTCAAAAAAGATTAAGATTTTAAAAGATTAAGATTTTATCTCTAGACTGCACCAGATACCTGAGAGTGAATAAGCAGAGTGTTAAACGGGGAAAAAAAAACAAAAAAACATATATATAAAAAAATGCTTTTGCTGCAAATGTCTGCTGGGGAAGTTTCAAACCAGTCCTGTTGTTTTCCTTACTTTACAGAATAAGTAAAAATATATAATGTATGGGAACGGGTGCTGTCAAAGTTGAAGGGAAAAGCAAACACACAGAAAGACGAAATAAAACAGATTTCTTACCCGTGCCTCTCTGCCATGTTTCCCATGTTTCTGGTTGGATGCTAACTCACTGTGGTCCTTCTGCAGACACATAAAAAAATAAACTCTTCTAATCGTCATCAACCGGCGACAAAATGAACAGAAATCGTCCGAGGCCTCTTACTGGAAGGTTGCTGCCGCTGTCCAGGTATATCGCAAGCATAGCACAGGACAGGCCGCTGTTGGTCTGAAAGAAAAACAGGATATTATTCCAAAGACCCGAAGCTGCTGGAAGCCAAATAACAGGTGGAAGGTTAGGATTTTTACGGAAGGTCTGATATCCCTGCGAGGCTCAGAGCTCAGGGCGAGCCACTGCAGCTTCAGATGAATCTCTCCACTAGTAGCACTTTCCAAGGGAAACCACTACAAGAGGAAAAGACTAATAGTTAAACGGCACCAAGAATGTTTTATGATCTTTACTGATTTCATTCAGAAATGTTCATTCAAAGCTTACCTGGTCCATTTCTTTCTCCCTCTTTATTTCTCCCAAATCCATCTTATAACTTAGGGAGAGAAAAATAATGTGATAAAGATGGAACTTGTTTTATATCTTGTATAAAAATTTCTGTATATTTATATATCTATATACATTTATATGTAATTTTTTTATTTCCAAAGACATGAAACACATGATTATCGAAAAAAAAAAATGCAATATAAGTGAAGCAAATAAGTGTGTTTCATTGGATTTGAGCAGGTAAGGCAATTTGCCAATGGAATCAAATGTTTCATGTTTAAAATAAGAAACAACACCGTAACTTATTGCAAGTTTATTACAGCTAAGTATCTTATTCTAAGAGACAATGCTCATTCTTTAGGCAGACTATCTAATTTACCTGCCCAAATTAAGGGCAAATACACATATTTTCTATCTGTTTTTGCTTAAGCTTATGTTTTCAGAATATAAAAACCACATTCCTGTGCAGGTGTGGGACACAAATGGCCTTAAATCTCCAACTTTACAAAAACTTTTATTTTTATTTGTTCTGTTGTTGTTGTTAGATTGGTGCTAACCTTCCTAGAAAATCGTCTTTATCTCTGTCTTCATCGTACAGATCCACCTCCAGCTCCTGTCCCGGCGCCTCATGAACGACAAACTGCACAAAGAAAATATTTTTCAGTCTTTATTGTTTGAGATTAGACAATGATTAAAAAGGATTATGATCTCTGTCTGATATCAGGTCAATTCAAAAAGATATTACTGCAATCTAGAAATGTACCAGTGGGTACCTCCCACTGAAAATGGTTTAAAAACACGCCTAAATATGATAAGGTTTATTTTAGATCAGGGGTGCTAAAGTCCAGTCGTCAAGAGCTACTATCCTGCAACTTTTTGATGCACCCCATTTTTAACACACCTGACTCAAATGAGTGGCCCCTTGCCATGCCACTGCTGGGCTAAATGAGGGGATTGAGCCTTTCGATTCAGGTGTCTTAGAGAAGAGATGCATCTAAAAGTTACAGGATGTTAGTTCTTGAGGACTGGACTTGAGCATCCCTGTGTTAGATATATAAAGCAATGAGAAATGTCTTAAAAATGACAGAAATCTGCCAAAGTGTGTAAAGACTTTCATTACTTTACCTCATAAACTTCATTCCATCTCGGGTGCAGATTTTCTTTGATGGTCTTGGTTTTGAAATGTCGGTTTCCCACTCTGACCGTGGCGTAAGGGTCCGACTTGCCTTTCACTAAGCCCATCATGTAGGTGTCCTTGGCCATCAGGTCTCTGGCCTCCAACATGTGGACCCGGACCACGCCCTGAAGAGGACAGCAGCTGGCAGGTTATTTGGGAATCTCTTTGCTCAAAGTGTGAGTGGCTCTTCTATGTTATACCTACCCGAGGCAGAGGAAACCTCATCTGATCTACTTTGACTTGGTCAATCAGGGGAAAACACATGCGGTTCGGCAAGACTATGATGGACGCAATGATGTCCATAATGGTATCTTCAGACAGAGAGCTGCAAAGAGGAAAGATCAGGTTAAAGAGGAAGACTAAACCTCAAAAGGTTTGGGCAGGGAGGGCGTTAGAAGACTACAGTCAGACCTAAAGCCTGGACTGTCCAACAGATTGGTCATGCCGGTCCAGTTGATCTGCAGAGTCTGAGGAGAGACACAACATGAGCTCATTCATAGATCCAGCCACACCTGCTACCTTATGAGTCAGATAGATGTTAGTGTGGACTTACAGGGCGGCGAATGAAAAAGAGAGTGACTCCTCCCACCAGCGGCGCCTGGCCAATCAGGGGCTCTAGGATGACTCTAAGCATTCCTTGGAACTAGAAGATATGAGCAGCGTTTACAGCAGTTGTCTACAGAAACAGCAGAGAGAGGATTCAACACCGGCGCCCCACCTGTAACCCTTTAACGCCCACGGTGATGGCTGCATTCACATCTGCATCGATGTCCACGTCACTGTCATAACTGTGGAGGAAACGGCCGCCGGTCAGTCCTCATTGAGAACAGAGCAAAGATTGTCTTAGTGTGTTCAACTGACTTTATGTTCATATCCAGGATCACCTCCCTCTGGTCCACTTCATGGGTGTACGATCTAATCCCAGTGATCTTTGGAGGCTGAAAGACATTAAGAAGGAGCAGGTAGGAGGGTAGGGGGGTAAGACAGAAAACTGGCAGAAGCTCACTCCAAGACATCCAAGCAACTTGGGTAATGTCTTGTAAAGACAAAGTACACCCTCCAAGTTTTAGAGTTTACGACGTGAGGAAATCTTAACATAATTCCGCTTTTATGCTCACAAGAAAGTTTTTTCTTTTGCTTCTTTACCTCTTTTCTGCCCTGTTGACCCTATAGCCTAGCCTCGTTAGACCATCCTGATCTCGCGAGCTTTCAAGGTTTCACTCGCAAATCAGTCTGGAGACTCTCCGTTAAAGAAAATTTGGAGCCGTTTACCAAACGAACGTCCAATCAGCGTTGGCTTTGAGGCGGGTTGAGGTGTGACGCAACAAGATGCGCGGCAGTTCAGTCTAAAGAACATGGCGGCTTCAGCCGATGAAACTAGCGTTAGCGTGGCTATCGAGCAAGTTTTGTCGGAATTACAGAGTATTTCTTCACTGAAAGAAGAGCAAAACACTGCTCTGGAGGCTTTTCTCAGAGGAAAAGATGTTTTTGCTCTTCTCCCGACTGGTTTCGGCAAGAGTAGCCTGGCTTGTGGTTGTGTTTTCGTCGTCACTCTGTTAGTACGTCATATGCTTCGTTGATCTGATTGGTTTATTTGGCCCGTCTATCACCAACATAGGCCAATCAGCTAACCAGTATTTTCGCCCCTTCCCAAAATTACTTCAACGGAAGGTTTCCAGATGGATTTGCTCCGCATATCCATCTGGTGGAGTCAGTTTACCTATAGCCTGGTTTGTGCTCAGAAACCAGGTCGTCAACGCAGATACGTGTTAATCTGTTGGTTTGCCCCCGAAGCCAAAACACACAGTGCCATGGCTACGGCTAACTAGCTTGTCAAACAGACACATGGACACCCACAATCCTAGCTAGTTCCTGATTGTTCCTTTTGCGTTGTGGCGCGGAATAACATAGCGCAGACCACACTTCCAAATTGGGCATAAATCAAAAATATCTGCGTCATACCTGTGACAGGCTAACTGTCACACACTGATGCAGGAGTATAACCAGCCCTTGAAGTCTTAGCGAAACGGCTGTTCCAAACGTTGCATTTCTGCTGCCAGTTCTGTTAGCTCTACGCCTGCCGAAGACACAGACGTCCATCCCCATGAACACTGGGACGGAACTGTATCGGAAAGGAAATTATTCTTATTTCAACCATTGCATATATTAGCTGCGACACATTGATATACGATTGGCCGAATTTAGGTGTACAAGCTGACATATGACTTACTGGCCCGCATAAGATAACGAAGAAAAAGACACAGATTTTAAGACAGTATTTTTTTTTTTCTAACTGAGGCAATGCTAAAAGAAATGAGGCTTTGGTAAACCCAATGTGGATGCATAAAGATTCAATGGAGATTCAATGGAGAGATGAGACTCTTAGGGCGGAATGATCAGCATCATTTTTAGAGAACGCCAAAAATCACCCATCAACAGATACATCCAGTATCAACTGTCAGGCACAGTGGTGGGAGGTTGATGATATGGGCTAATTCTGCACCAGCAGAAATCTCAACACAACAAAAAAAAACATCTCCAGAGGAGGAACTTTGCAGGGAAAACTTAATGAAATGAAGCAACGATGGGAAAAAATGAATAGATATGAATAAATATCTTGTTAGGGACCCTAAAACCAGAGAGGGTGTACTGTCTTTATACCTTCACTTTATGCTTGTTTTTTTTAATTTTTTTTTAATTTAAAACAGAAAATCAGATGAAGAAGTAAATAAACAGAGAAACATTGAACAAACCGACTGGTCAACTCACTTTGTGTCCAAGGTGAATCTTGGTAAAAGTGAACATTTTGAGCGCAGAGTTGCACATCCTGACCGTCTGCTGGATATTGTCTTTCAGAAGTTTCTCTATGTACATCCCGACAAAGGGCCAAGCTTGCTCCAACACCTGAGCACGCAGCCAAACCCAAAAAGACAATGAATCAGCATCCTGATCAAACAGGTTCTTCTAAAATGAGATCAACTAAAGAACCAAACACATGGTTAGAGAAACATTGTGAGTTCATTAAATTTGTGTAACAGTATAGTAAAACAGGTTAACATCTTTTTTTCCTGATTAAACAAAGAGATCGGTCTAAAATGAGTGCTTCCTTGTTTGCTTGTTTTTTACATTATTTATAACTGCAGGCCCACCTGGCTGGAGCTGTGGTCTGATCATCTCTGCTGCAGAACTATTTAAAACCGATCTTTGTAAAGTTCTCTCAAAGTATTGGTGTCTTTAATAGGAAAATATTATCCTTAAAAGTAGAGATCAATCGATGAGGTGTTTTAAAGCCAATGCTTATATCAATTATTCTAACCAATCCCTGATATGTGCTGCTAAATTTTGTTTGATTCTTAAGGCCATGATAAAATTTTAACAATCATAGTAAATATTATATAAATTATATAAATATTATATCTCATTTTTAACAGAGAAAAGCTGATTAACTATCAATCAAAACAAATTTATAATGAAGGAAACGCCAATGCATGGACTCAAGATATGGCTGCTGAATGTGCTAATAAATCAGCAAATGCACATATGTATCAGTAACAATAATATTGAATTAAAGTATTGGCTGGCGAACGTATCCATCTATCTCTAGGTTTCCCTAAATTCAAAAAACTTTTATAAACTTATAGATTATAAACTAAATTTGACTGCTTTTTACAGTTCATGTAGCTGAATTTGAAATCTTATATATGTTTGAAACAAAATAATAAAAACCAATAGGGCTGCGATTTTACCGATACGATACGCAGGGGCAGATTTAGGATATTTGGGGCCCTAGGCAAAGACAGGCATGGGGCCCCTGAATTGAGAAGACAACACATAAACCAGACCCATTAAACAGAAATTTTAATAGAATAGACATACATTATTTGTTCTACATTGTGTCCCTCTCTTCTTGTCCCTTTTCTTGTTGTTTTCCTCTCTTTATTTTGTACTCAGCTGACTTTTCATGCTGTCTCTAAAGAAATGAAAGATTCTTTCCAAGCACTAAGCTCACTTAGCTGATTGCTCCTTCCTGTGTTTCCAAAAAGGCAAAAGTAAATAACCCAGTCCTTGTTTTCGCTGTAGACAAGCCATGATCTGCTTCTCTGTTCTCCATTTTTCATTTGGATGAAATAATAGCTGCATGAATCATGACAGCAGACAAGATAGAGGAAAGCAGGAGGCGGGGTTACCAATCTACTTGCTCTGGAGAGCAGAGTTCGCTGCTTTTAGATGTTGTCTCCAAAGTCTCCAGTAGCAGAAAAAAGTTGCTAGATTTGGCGCTAGATGCTTTTTGAAATAAAAGTGCAAGAGGGGTCTGAAAAGCGCTAAGTTGGCAACACTGCTCTTCTCACCGTTTGTTTTCAAATGGTTTGCTGCTGTCTGTTTGGATCCTTTCTGAACATGTGCAGACACAGTACATGTTCAGCACAGTTGTTGAGACACACTTAATGTTATAAGCGTTCTGATGGCATTTTAACGAAAGGATTTTTATCAAAAACATAAATAATGTGCACAGATAAGGAATAGTTATATTAACATGTAAACAGAGTTTTATGGGGCCCCCAGGAACTTGGGGCTCTAAGCATCTGCCTAGTATTGCCTAATGGTAAATCCGCCCCTGACAATACATATCACATAAGATTTATGCCGATATATATCTAGATACATTACCAAAGACATTATATTGCAATTATTTATAATAATACATCTCTGAAAAACCTCATAAGATCTGTTGTTGCTCTGCTGCGGTGGTGCAGAGCAGCTGAATAATGGGCATCTGGGTAATGTGCTGCCATCTATTGACTGGAGGTTTAAAATATACAGTATATATCCTCTAATAAGTTATATATCATCTGATGAAATATCACAATATTTGACAAAATCAATCCTTTCTTAATATGGCTGAAGCTAAATTGGCACAACTTATTTCTAAAAATAATGTTAAAGTAAACTGTAAAGGGAAAGATGAATCAGTTACAATAGGTAACAAAACAGTTACAGGTTTATCTAGCAGTGCATCCCATCAATATGAATCGATTTAGCATGATGTTTTTCTGTACAGGGGCCAATGACAAGTTCTAAAAGGACACTGGCCTCTTAAGGCCCCTGTCTAGAACCGCACGATTAAAGAAAAACAATTTGATTGAGACTGTACCTTGTTCACCCAATTAGCCTTCTCAACATCTGTGAAATGCACCTTTGGAAGAAACAAAGAGTTAGAAAATTATATTAAAAATCACAACCTGCAAGTAAAACTGTCAAAATTAAAAACACTGCATGCATGATGAGGAAGCTACGGAAGAGGATTAGGGCCACTGAAAAAAAAAGTTAACTGATTTCTAAATTTTATGGGAATTCTGAGATTAAAGTCAGAATTCTGAGAAAAAAGTCAGAATTCTGACTTTTTTTCAGAATTCTGACTTTAATCTCAGAATTCTGACTAAATTCTGAAAAAAAAAAGTCAGAATTCTGAGATTAAAGTTTTTTTCCATTACTAAACTCAAATAACTTTTAACTTTTCTTTTTTTTTTTCACTGGCCCTAATCCTCAGGAAGCAATACTGGATTAAACCAAATAAATATGTACGGATAGGAGTAGATAAAAAGGAAAATCTCTGTTAAGATAAATGTCCCAGATTTAAATTAAACTCATGACTCTGCACTCCAGATATTTCAGATTCTTTCATATTGAAGAAGAAGTGATTTCAGGTTTTAGGGCTTATAAGTTTCTTTGCAGCATAAACACTGCAAACTAGAAAAGAGGTTTGGGATCATGTTCTGAAGCACAGCTGGAATGGGATCTACCCCTCTGACTAAAGTCCCCCCAAATTAAACCTGAATTCTGCAGGTCATCATTCTGTTGATGATTTTATTCTGCTACAATCAGAATATTGCAACCCACCAATAACAGCCAACAATGATTACACACATTCCTCTCACATTACAGCAAGTTTTTCTCTTCTCAAGTTACATGAGTCACTGCGTTTCTGGGTGTGGTGCAGTTAAATGTGCAGAGCTACAGGTCTGCTGCTGCAAAACTGGGCAACAATCCGATGGGAGGCCCACTCTGGATGGTCATGCAAATTTAGAACAATGACACATTCATGGAGACCAAAGCTGTTTGGGAGGTTTTATAAAACTTTGCGCCAAACATGGCTGCCAACTTAGAGCAAAAGTGTGGAAGAAACATCATTCCTGACATTCTGGAAGTCTGGAATGTTGCTCCCAGCCAGGAAAGTTTCATCCATCTGCTGCTGACCCACAGCAAAGCAAAGCCCCCCACTATAAACACACACATACCCAAGAAGCCATCTGTAAGGAACCCTTCAGCTCGGTGTTGATAATATGCTTCTCGTTTTCCACTAAATCCAAAGCGCCTCCGATCTGGACGTCCTTCCACTGCCGGTTCTTCTGCCACCAGGTGAACATGAACATGCAGAGCAGGACCCAGCTGATGCTGAAGCCCAGGTACCCGGTCAGGTAGACCGGGTAGAAGACCACCAAAGCCCGGCCGAAGTAGATCAGGAACTCCATCAGAATGCGGTTCACCGCGGATGGGCTCAGACGCTCAGTGCTGCCCGGGATAAAGCGGCTCTCCTGCGCGCCTGGATGCGTCTGTGCGGCGGATGCCATTTCAGCCACGTCCCGCTGAGCGGCTCTCTGCTCCAGAGGAAGCGCTCAGGCTGGAATCCTGAACAGATTTACGCGCTGTCTCTTATTCTGGATGACAGCGTGAAGTGTTGCCACAGGAGATCCACCCTCAGCCTGAAAACTTCCGTGTTTTTAACTGACGAAAAGCAGGTAGACACACCTTCGGCCAGACACACCTTCTGCCAGGGCTGGAAGAACCGGATTCCATTAAAAAAAAAAGAAAAAAGGTTTAAATAACTTTGTTTAATCAAATTTATTAATTGTATTAAAATATATATTTTTTTTGTTTCAGAAAAAAAATATTAACGTGAATCTGGTCTGAAAATGAGACCAAATAAAATATTTATTAAAAAGAGGTTATGCAATAACAACACGTGTCCTGCAGGTGGCGACAAAGAGATATAACTAGTGTAAGGCAAGGCAAGGCAAGGCAAATTTATTTGTATAGCGCAATTCAGTACAAAGACAATGCAAAGTGCTTAACATGATTAAAATACAGGAAGATAAAACAGAATCAAAGCAAGTAGGAAAAAATAAAATAAAATAAAAAATGCAGAAACAAAAAAGAATAGTTGGATTAAAGAAAATATGTTTTAGTTGAACTATTTAACTAGAACAGTCAAAGGCAATCCTAAACAAATGTGTAAAGTTTACAAAATTAACTCAAGAACATGAAAAAAAAAGTAGCGCTACAAGAAATGTTGAAAGCAGGAGTAGAAAAGTTGTTTATTTTTGGTAAAAAAAGGCTTTTCAAGGTGGTTACTAACTGCTTGATCATAACATCTGATTTGATATTAAAGATTGATCTAATTAGACTGATAGGTCTGTACAAATTCCTGTTTTTTAAAAACTGGAATAATACATAAAATGCAAACACATCATCAAACAAAAAATAAAAATATATAGCAAACAATGCTTGTGAACCAACAAAAAGTCTAACATAAACATAAGCTTGTTTATCTTTCAGTGAGGTTACCCATAATGCACAGTAGACAGTTTCTCTTAAATAAGAGTAGCAATACTGTACAATAATATTTCTGATATAAAAGTAAAATCTAAGGTGCAGAAAAAAAAAACCTCATGTCTAGAGCTTTGAGCATATTTTGCATTATTTTTATGGGTTTGGATTTGCTATCAATTCTGTAAATATTTCTCAATTTATAGCCTATCTGTAAAAGACAACGATGTTTGGGCTGTGTAAGCTTAGTACTTTTATATCTAATATGTACATTTTTAGGTTTATTATTAATTGGACACTTTATTATTTAATGTATTTTAATAATTGAATTAGTGGCTGGACTATATTCATGTAAAGCACTTTGAATTGTCTTCTATAGAATTGCCCTTTACAATTGTTTCTATTCAGTGTGATTTTATCTCCACCTGAATATAATTAGTCATATGATTTTTAGTATAGTCTCTTTTTCTGTTTCTGTCCCTTTGTTTTTAACAGCTAAATCAAAGGTGAGAACAGAACAAGACAACAACTGGAGATTCACATTAAGAAACCTTCTATTTAACTATGCCACTAAAAAACATACAGTAGGGGTAATACAGACTATAATCTAACTGATTGAAATCACGTGTTAATAATAAGCAACCAAAGCCATTATGGAGATATTCAGATACTGAAAACTGTAACATAGCAAGTAGCTAACGGTGTCATGAACCGAGGACAGATGGACCCAGTATTTAAGGAGAGACAGTCCAGTCCAAGAATGTCCCCAAGTGCTGCAGTCTCAGAGGTCATGCTGGAAGTCAATCCTGGTCAGGGATCCAGAACAGAGAGGAACAGACAGGAACAGACAGGAACAGGATCCAGATCAGGCAGGAACAGAAACAGGTGGCAGGATCCAGACTTCCAGGCATCCACAGGCTCCCAGGAGGGTTCAGAGTCTGACTGGGACCAGAAGCATGACCAGGTGGCACGCACAGCAGGAGACAGGATCAGGTGCAGACAGGCAGGCTCAGTGGAAGAGGGTAGCCGAGACGGGATTTGGAATCAGAACTTGATGCAGGACTTTAAACTGGTCTCCTCCCTGGAGCCAGGCTTACTGGATAAAAACTGAATCTCCCCATATATACAGCCAAAAACCCAGAGGACTCCGCGGGGGAGGAACAGTGGATGATCAGGAGACGAGACAAACACAAAAACCCTCTTTCCACTGGCTGCCAGGATCCAGGACATGAACCAAGGCAAAAACTGAACAGACAGACTAACAGAAAGACAAGTAATGATCTGGCACTGAATGCTCAGGCTGAACTGAATATAAACCAGAGGAAACAGGTGAGAGGAATAAATTATAATTGAGGCAGGGAGGGAAAACGACAGGTGAAAGGAATTACTAATTAAGGGAGAGCAAACAGCCCAGATCATGACAAACGGATGATCTATCTATCAATCTATCTATCAATTAACCCAGAAATTAAACACAAAGGTTTTTGAACTATATTTTTAAAAAGTAACATTTCAGAATTAAATATTTTCCAGTCATTAGCATTTGCATAGTCCAGCCAAAAACAATATAGTTGCCTGTTACAATAGAAATAAACATTTTTAGATTAAAGGCCAACAATGACATTCATTCCAAAACTACAGGTAAATGATTCCTCTGGGGTATAACAAATAATTCAACAAACAGTCTTATAAACATATTGAGTTCTCATTTAATTTTTAACATATTTTTGATGATTTCGCATCTCTTCCATGATATGGTGAAGTGGAAATATATCCTGTCCAAATTCTGAAAATGTCATGTGCCAGTGCCACCTTCTGGTATGTTTGTCCTTTACACTGTTCTCCTCGGAACCTTAAAAGTTTACTGCGCCCTTTTTCATTTAGTTGGTCCTTTAGTCTGTGATCCAGCAGCAGGTCCAGTTTCTCAGAGTGAAAAACAGCCTTTTCAGATTTAGTCAGTTTTCATATTTCACAAAACAACAGTTTTTCTAAAGGAACCAATTAAATATTGCTATATATTATTGCAGTGAGTTTGGATATCTTATGGTAGGCCAACTGAATTTTTATTGATAAAAAAAAAGGATTAGTTAGAGGATAAAATATTAGCTGATTTTCTTTGTTTCATCTTAACCTTTGCATATTGTGACTCTAGGAGGCACTGTTTGCTTTGTACACTTGACTTGACCTCATGGAGTCTGCTGTTCAAAGGCTTTAACCATTTAAAGCTAAGTGTATCATATTTGATACATTTCTGAGACTTCTGCGTCATCAGTGTGATATTTTCTTTTTCTTGAAAACCCTAACTTACACAATCAGACACATGTAGTGAAAGCAAGTAAAAGATTTTACAGAAATGCAAATGTATCAAAATTGATGCAAACAAATAATTTAATTAAACACACAGAAGAGTTTGTCTTTTATACCATTTGTCAGAAAGTTCATAGACAACTCTTATTTAAGAAGACTGGGATTTTCGGTCAATTATTTCAAGGTCCAGAGGGTTAAGCTGATGTATATAGATTGGGGGTTTTATTCAGCCACTTTGACTCACTAATGTGTAGGAGACACTTTCTGCTTGATTCACATTTGCAGGGCTACTTGGGAATGTTGCCATCAGCCTTGAACATCTATGGCCTGAAAATTCTGGCAAGTGCTGAAAGTTTCTAACTCAAATTAGTCAACAGACTATGTTTGAGCTGAGAGTGTCTGTTTGATTTTTTTTCCAATTTTGCTGCAGATTCTCAGTCGTGTTTAGGTCTGGCTTTTGACTTAGACAATATAACCCTATATGCTTCTATCTTAACTACTGATTTTTAGTTCAAGGTTTAAAGGAAATGTCCGGTCACATTAAAAATTCAAACTTCTGAAAGTACATTAGATATAAAATTATTACATACTGTTCAATAAATGATAAGTGTTTTTAATTAAGAGTAATTTTCATTTGAATGTGTTTTACAGGAGGCATCCATGTTTGTCAAAGAACACTACTGCCACCTACTGGTTTATGACGTCACGGTGCGGTATCGGCTGTTGATCAAGTCCCAGTGCTGTATCTGGTGTTTGTCACAACACACTATTATCCAAGTCATCTTCAAAAACAACATTAAGTTGGCAACATATTACCTGTTTTTTTCTCTGGCCAGAGGTTTGATGGCGAATCCTCCCTCTTCAAGTTGGCAATCCAACAATGAACCCGGATCAGGATCAGGAAAGGTGAAATAACTTCTTTTTTTTTAACTTTTACCCAATGTATTCCAACATCCAACTGCCATGCACGTGGGCATTGTCAGTTTCACTATAGCTCTGGTGAATTTTAGTGGTGAAGTCCTCTGGAAATGTTCAATAATTGTTGTTGATTGCAGATGTGTCTAGTAGTTCCCATTGATTTAGCTTGTAAAGCGGGGAGAATGGCTCTAGGCTTACCGCACCGTGACGTCACTGCTGGAAGATGGCAGGAGTGAAGTGTTACTATAATTGGGCAAAAATGGCCGCTCACAGTGATCCCAACGAAAATTATTATTATTATTATTATTTTAACTGATTAACGCTAAATTTATTATATCACAGCAAACATATTAGTTTTAGGTATGATTAATGATCCATTGATTATTCTTTGCTGACCGGACTTCTCCTTTAAGCTTTTGGTCCAGCCCAAAACCTCCAACTCAATCTCGCCTCTTCTAGTTTTTCTTCTAGGGCTTCCATAAATCTAACTCCATCCATTACAAATCAACACTAATTATTTTGATCAATAAAGCCCATTAGATTTAGAAAAACCCAGAGCACAAGTAAGAAAAAAGCTGGCAACAATATCATAACAAGAACCAACAGAAGGATCTAAATGAAAAGTCTGAGAAAGTGATAAATATTCTTATGCTGCAACAGCTTGATGAGGAACCGGTTATTAAATAACTCCCTGCAGCTGTTTGAGCCGTTTAAATCAGTACATCTGTTTGGCTCAGTAAAAAATTACTAAACACAAAATAATGCACAGTAAGCACAGCAGTCCAAATTAGACCAAGTAAAATGTATTTATTTCAGCTATATATATTGTTTAAACAATATATAAAGATGACAGATGGCCTTTGTCCTTTCACTATATGAGATTAAACACTTTCTTATTTTGTTGTCAGTTAGGAATGACAAAATGATTGCCTTAACACCAATAT